TTTTCAAAAATGTTTTAGAACAAATAAATCTGACAAGCGTGTCATCTCACAACATCTAATTTCCCGTTGAGATCAATAAAATATTTTTGGATTTGAATTGAATTCAGTTATATTAAACCCTCTCACCAACTTCAACCCTGCCAAGAGCAAAACAGATCTAGCCTTTATGGCTATGCCACAAGCAGTGAAAGAAATGTAGGAAGATGCTCTGGTCAGATAAGACCAATGCAAAACACTGTCTGGGGTGGAGCACTAGCATTTCCTTTTATCCTGAACACATCATCCCCACTGATAAATATGGTGGTGGCTGCATCATGCTGTGTGAATTATTTTTTTGTTTTTTTAGATTTTCTTCAAGAAAGGCAGGAAAGCTGATAAAAGTTGAGGAGACACCAACTCTAAAAATACAACAGCTGCGGTGGGATTGTTTGAATCAAAGCAGATTTATGGTCCAGTCAAAGCCCACGCCTAAATCCCATTATGAATACGTGGCAGGACTTGCGTATTAATGTTCACAGACACTCAATCTAAGTGAGTTTGTGCCATTTTGTAAAGAATATTTGACAAAAGAGAAGAAAAAAAATCAGTCTCTAGATGTGCAAAGCATTCTTTTAAAAAAGGGATAGGTCTATGTAGCTTAATACATATGAACACCAGACTGTTCATATTTTTACTTGCTAAAATAAAGAAAGAAAAAGAAAGCCATGAATCAGCTTTCATTCTATGTAATTCTCTGAGTTAGTCTATATCAGAACAACCCAATAATCAAATTTAAAAGTAAGGTAGAAGTGAGACGAAAAAAAAAAAAAAAAACTTCAGGTGGTGCAAATACTTTTGCAATACACAGCAGACTTAATCCTTTTCACATGCCGGATTTATGCTGTCAGTTTATCTAATAAAAGTTAAGGCAGCAGTTCTCTTGAGTGACAGCTAATAAGAATGTGTGGCAAAGGAAATGACACAAAGCTGTCCCTCAGGCTCTTCATCACAGTGGGTGGCTGGAGAGAAGTGAAGTAATGTGGAGGGGAACACATTTTTCCTATTCACTGAAGACATTACCTTACAAGGATCCACTTGGTTGCCGAAACCAATTCTGGTATTCATCTAACGTCAACTGGACTGAACTTTAACTAGATCTGATGTCCATTACTTTAAATGATTCCATCTTTTGGTAGTGATTAGGCTGAACAGTTAATACCAGTTAAAGTCCTTTATGATAAACTGTAAGCAAATAAATAAATAAATAAAAGACAGCAGGAAATTATCCAGCTCCTTAGAAGTCTCAAGACATTCCACATAAAGAGGTTAGTCCATTTTTAAACAAAATCTTTTTACTGCACTCAGAATCTTTTGTAGTACCAGTGCTGTCTTTTAAAAGTTAATATTTAGTTTAAAATTTCTGAAAAATCACGATTATTTTGGGAAATGTATTATCTTGAACAATTAGACAGACAGAATATGTCGTAAAAAAAAATTAATGAAAAAGTAATCAGCGCCGTAATTAGTTTAAATCGCAGCTCTAGCTCCGAGTCCTCCGGGTCACCAAGTGGTCACAGCATACCTCTAACCTCCAGGAGGGAAACGCGGTGGTGAGATGCATCCCTGCGAACAGAAGGCTGAGCAGCGCAGCGGTCAGCAGAGGAGCGGAACACCAGTCACCGCTGCGTAAACCTCCAGGAGTCCCACAGCTCACCATGGCTGCAGCACTGTCACACTTTGGGAAGTATTTGCGTCTGTCTGCGAAGAAAGGTCCAACCATCGATGCCCGCCGGCGCTACTTCATGCCCATCGCGCGCAACTTTGCGTGGAGCTTTCTGTCACTCTGTGCGGGAGCGCAGTCCAGCCTGCGGACCGCGTAATGAAAAGTGCAGACTGCACATCAGCTCTGCTCGGCTCTCTTCCGCTCAGCAGCACGCCTGCCTGCCTTGCCAGCGGGCTGGATTCACGTCGCTGCACTCGGGGCAGGGGGTCAGCGTCGAGACGACCTAATGAAAACCAAACGCGCTGTCCGCCGCACCACTGCTTCCAACCACGAGACCTCAGTTAAAGCACTATCAGATGGGTTGCTCTGTGTTTTTTTTTCTCTTTCTTTAGTGTTTATGTAATCCTCCTGAGGGGAAAAAAACCGCTCATGCACAGGCATCTGGGCACAGGAGAACCGACAGGGGCGTTGTTAGTATTTTAAAGCACATGTGGGACTGGAGCCCTCTTTTTTTTCTTCTTCTTCTTCACCTGCCTGGATGTTTAGTTGCTCTTATTCCTCCCATAGCAAGCCACTGCTATTAATATCATTCATATCATTGGTGGGGGCTGCACCTGAAGTAAATGGCCTTCACATGCCACAGTTTGAAGTTTATGGTTTTCTAATGCACATTAGTTATAGGTGTCATGTGTGCAATAGTATGTAGATTTTTAATTTCACATGAGCATCATATTTAATTTCAGAATTGCTGCATGGTCATCGTGTAATTTGCGATTTTTCACAAGAGCGTCACATGTAAAAGTCTGAGGAACTCCAAAGTAATTTACAACGCGATCAGTCATTCACCCTTTCATGCACACATTTACACACAGATAGTGGTAAGTAACCTACAATGTAGTCACACTAGGGCAAACAAACAAAATGAGTCAGAACCCCTAACCAGGAGCAGGCAAGGTATGTGAAGTGACTTGCCCAAGGACACAATGACCTGCAGGACAAATCCCTGCTTCCTGACTCTGATAAGTTGGCTAGAGATCTGAATTTTTTATCAAGATGTGGGTAACACCTCAAATACACCTCCTTCTTGCGTAAGATATTGAGAAAATTTAAATAAACCAGCCAAAATATCAAGAAGAGACTGGTGCACCTCTACAAGACTCTTTCATCTTTGGGTACCATTTCCAGTTGCTTGAAGGTATCACATTCATCTGTTTAAACAATTATCCACCAGTATAAACACCATTGGAATGTCCAGTCACCATGATTTTCAGGAAGGAAACAGTTTTTGCATCCCAGAGATGGACACTTATAGGTGCATAATGTATCAATCTGTCCTTGAACAAAAACTAAAGACTTTGTGAAGATGCTGGCCAAAGATGGCAAGACAGTGCCATGATCCACAGCGAAACAAGTCCATGGGCTGAAAGGCCACTCAGCAATGAAGAAACCAATGCCCCAGAAGTAAAACAAAAGTACAAGGCCCACTTTGCAAACGCTTTCAGCCATCATTACTGTTCTGGAAGGAAATGATGAGTTCTGGTGTTTCAGAGATAAACATAGTTTGGTGCAAAATGTGTGAAACATCCTCAGAAAAAAAGCAAAAGACATCCAGCAAAAACTGGTAAGCGAGTGTCATTATTCACACTGAAATGAGTCACACACTGCATGTGGTGAAAGGACACTCAGCTAGGAAGTAGCTATTACTAAGAGTAATATAAAAGTTAGCTAAGAATAGCTAGTATTACCGGCTGTAATAATAGTTACCGTTGGCTTAACAGGCAAGCATTTCACCATGCAATATACTAGTATTTAGTCAAATTTAATGAGGTTTTGCATAAATAAATTTGGAGAAGCAATGAATTCAAGACAAAAAGTGATAGTGATAGATCTGGGCTTATATGTACATAGGCGTTCAGGTTGTCATGAGGTCCAGCTGATGATTGTTTTCTGAGTTAATCTCTCAAACAAAAAAAAAGAAAAAACAAAACAAAACAAAAAAATATATAAATATTTATCCTCACTGCGACAGACTGGCGAGGCAGCAGCAACCCTCCCAACCCCACTAAGGGACAAGGGTGTTCAGAAAATGGATTGATGGATTTATCCTCACTGAGGATTGATTCGAGTCTGCTACTCTGGGCTAGCTATATTGTCTGCTACTCATCGCAGTTGGATGGATAACTGAGGTTCCAGTGACTAACAAGAACAATGAGGCCATGTGAGAGTAAACTAGAGAACGTAAAGCTTGGATCAGTGAGTTCTTTTTTTATGTTATTGTTGCTTTATACATTTTGCCCAAGAGCTTGTCCAAAGATTAAAAGAAACAACCTTTTTAAAAAATATAAATCAGCAGCACTTTCTACTTTATTGCACCTGACGCAAGGTATTTAATGATTACACAATGATTTATTTACAAGTATTTAGTCTTGGGAGAAAAATATTTGTCCATCTTTTCAACTTCAGTGAACATAAATAATAATCTGTTGCTTGACTATAATTTGGGAGCAATGACATTGACCTCTATTAGCAAATATCTTCTCATAGCTGTTCGACTGTTGAAGAAACATTGCATGAACAGTTACTTATTGTGCATTCTAGTCAGTGTTGTTAAATAAGATGTCGCAAAGCAAACATGCCTCCTGAGATCTCAGTCCTTATCATATTCCATTATTTGTTCCACTTTTGTCAGTTTGTATGTCAGAAAACCCATTGTCATTTAAAGTTTTAGTCATATTATATTATGAGTAACAGTTAGTATCTTAGTATTTTTATGGATAAATTAAGAAATTCTTGAAACCAATTACTGGCTTTGTTTGCCACCTACCACCTGCTGAGCTCCAAGGTCTTAATGATGTCCCCCTTTCTGTTATTAACGTCTAATGAACCAAAGAAAAACAACTTACTTATTTATTTATTTATTTATTTATTTATTTATTTATTTATTTATTTATTTATTTATTTATTTATTTATTTATTATGACCTAATTTGTACATTTTAATTTACGACCCTGCACATCCGGGTCTTATTTTATTAGTATATTTTCAGGGCGGAACCATTGTGCGAGAAATAGTTTCTTCTGTCCCTCACGCGTCGTCGCGCTCGTGTGGGAGAAAAAGCGTTCCGTAGCCAACCAGTGACTTTACCCTCGGAGTTGACACGTAGACTTTGTCGTTGCTTTTTGCAGCGCCAGGCTCTTTGAGCGTAGAAATATGATTTTAAGCGGAGAGAAACCGGGTTCTGGTCGGATAATAAAGACGTAGCAGGTAAGAGCTACTGCCGTCACTTATATTCACCTCTCTAAATTACCACTCTTAAGGCTAGGCGGCTAGCTTATTAGCTTTAATCCTATAATCTCAACAGTTAGGGTCAGTTCGTTTGACTGTCCGAGCTGGCTTCTCCTGAATTTAGTTTTGAACAGAACCCCGCATGGTCGACAAGAGACCCAATCAGAATGAGCGTAAAGAACAACATCACTATGAAAAGCACTTATCTAAGTGTGTCAGACATGGTCTACATGCTTTAAGTGTTTGAATAGGAATTTAAAGCATTACACGTAAGGCTCGTTGGTGTTCAGATTTGTAATGTGTCTAAACATTTTTTTAAAAAAAGAACTCAGCCCCTGATTAGCATGTCCAGACTCTGATCCGGATACAGGGCTCTGTTATGCACAGCATCCAACAAAAAGTGAGCACACCCCTCACATCACATGTTCGTAAATATTATATCTTTATCAAGGGACAATACTGAATATACTTGAGACAATGTAAGGCAGTCAATTTGTATAATAATGTAAATTTGTTATTCCCTAGCCATTAATGTCTAAACCCCTCGTGTTACAAGCTCTGAGGTGTGAATGGAGTCGCAGGCGTGTTGCGTGTCAGAGGTTTACCTTCCGGTTGGACGACAGAGCTACAATCGAGGGGATCAACATGCATCGTTAGAATGGACCAGTTAAAGTCCAGACTTAATCCATGGCAAGATTTGAAAATTGACGTTCTGATCCATCCAGTCTGCCTGGATCAGTCAGATCTGATCCATCTCACCAGATCTGGTGAGATGCCTTACTAAGTATTTAAATGTTTCAGTTTCAGGAAATGCCAAAACAAATTGCAAAAGTAATTACAGCAAAATGTTGTTTTGCGAAATACAGACTAATATGGTTCTGGATACAAATGTACACCAAACCCTTAAAGATTTTTTATGTAGGAAAAAAAAAACCAATGTGTCATTTTCTTCCACTTCATAATTTTTTGCTATTTTAGTCTTGCTGTGATAAATTCCCAGTAGAACACTTTTTACATTTGGTGTGGTAGCAAATAAAAATATGCAGAAGGATAACAAGTAGCCAACAAGCAACTATAATGGTTAGTTAATTACAAATAGCATGTTCAAGGCTGTATGTCGCTATCAAATGTCAGCTTCCTGCTTAGTTTTATTTTTTTTTTCCCCCACAGGAACACCAGAATAATTAACCCTGCTCATGGTGAGAAAGATGGCTAAAGATCAGAGGCACAACAGAGTAGAAACATTCGTGCTGGCTGGATCGAATGGTCACAATGGCCAGCAGTGGCAGACCGACGGCAACAACTCGAGGCCACCCCACCCTGCCACGGCCAACCACGTCTCTAGGATGGCCCGCGTCGCCTCCGACGTCAGACACAAGTGTGCGGCGTACGTGCTGGCACTGAGGCCGTGGAGCTTCAGCGCCTCGCTCATACCCGTGGCCCTCGGCAGTGCCTTGGCGTACAAGCTGGACGGCTCTGTGGACCTGGTGGTCCTGATGGTGTGCGCCGTGGCCGTCCTCGTGGTCCATGGCGCCGGGAATCTTGTGAACACCTACTACGACTTCTCCAAAGGAATTGACCACAAGAAGAGCGACGACAGGACTCTCGTCGATAAAATTCTGGCACCACAGGACGTCGTCATGTTCGGTGCTTTGCTGTATTCCTTGGGGTGCCTGTGCGCCACTTTCCTCTACTTCCTGTCGACGCTGAAGCTGGAGCACCTCGCTCTTATTTACTTTGGGGGTCTTTCCAGCTCTTTTTTATACACTGGAGGTGAGTCGATTTCCAACCTGAATTGTCTTTTAGGGGACATTGCAAAACGGTTAGTTTTAAAATAAAGTTTTAAAGTAAAATGGCAGGAATGTGAACAATATATTTGGGTGATTAGTAATCATTTTTAGATTTAAAATTAGAGAAATAACTGGTTTAAAATAACCTTTTAGAATGCTGTAAACAACACAGCTCTATTAACATTTACAGGTAAAGAGTTCTAAGAAAAAAAACTTTAAAGAAATAGTTTTTAAAGGGACCTGAGGTGTCTCTCTTTGCTGTTTTAACCTATTTTTGCATCCTGCTCACTTAGGGCCATGATATTCTCACACTTCTACTTGGTTTGGGGCAGACATACCACAGCTTTATAAACACTTTCAACCTGGTAAAAACCAGCCATTTGTACTATTCTTTGCTTTGTACAGAGGGTCTGGACTCTTGGCTCTTGGGAAACGTCTAATAACTAATATTTGGCAGTGATGTATGCAATGCACCAGTTTGACGCTAAGGAGCTTCACAGAAATTGCCTGCCCTGTGCATAAATATCCTTCTCTGCAAAGAAAAAAGTGCCGATCTGAATGAGGCAGCTGTTAATGTTATTTAATATTTGGAAGCGTGACCAACACTGACTGAATTACTTCCTTCCCTTTCTCTGCCGCCATTGCTACACCTACGGTCAGACTCTAAATTTCAAACAACGCAGAAAATCAGTGTCATCCTTCACAACTTTCTCCTTCTGTTCGCTGATCAGCCCTTTAGAAATTCTAGCAGAGAAATCCAGTTCAATGGAAGAAAGCCCAAACTGAGCGGTGAAAGGAGATTCATAATTGCTTCCTATGCAGCACAGGGAGCAATGTTTCTCCTGTCTTTACTTTAAAAGAAATGAAAAACAGCTTTTCATTGTTGCCAAAATAATCAGACATTTATATGGTTGGAATAATGTGTTTTGATTCTACTTCCAATAGTGCATAGTGAAGCAAAAATATTGACTCAAACAATAAATTAATGCTGGGAAGAGGCAGAAAGATATGAAATAAAGTAGAACTTTTATATGGTGCTTATTTCTGCATCACATATTTGCAGATTTTGTTCCAAAACGAAAATTATAAATGCTCTAATTGGAAGTGCATCCATTATTTTAGATCTTCGTCAAAAAACCTTTTCACATTATGATTCTGTAAAACACAATTTTCATCTATAGATATTGAATTGAAAGGCACAAAAATGTCTTGTGGTTTAAGTTTTACACTATTACTAAACAAAACAAATTCGGCAAATTTTTGTAGCATTCGTCAGCGGCTTTGACCAAGATACATCTGCTTCCTCAGGAATGTAAAGATGAGTTCACTACATCATAATGATCAGGCTTTATTATGTGATGCTGAAAAGCAAAATGACCTGTTAGGTGGTGTCTGCTTGTTCTTGTTATTCAAACCTGCGACACTGAACTTTCATCATAAACTGCCTTTAAACACACAGCCTACAAACCAAACCATTTTTTTTTTTTTTTGTCCTCCAGGTATCGGCCTCAAGTACGTTGCCCTGGGAGACATAGTGATCCTCATCACCTTCGGCCCCTTGGCGGTGATGTTCGCCCACGCCGTGCAGGTGGGCTACCTGTCGGTGCTGCCGCTGGTCTACGCCGTCCCTCTGGCCCTCAACACAGAAGCCATCCTCCACAGCAACAACACAAGAGACATGGACTCGGACAAGCAAGCCGGCATCGTCACGCTGGCCATCCTCATAGGCCCCACGCTGTCTTACGTCCTCTACAATCTCCTGCTCTTCGTCCCGTACGTGCTGTTTTGCATCCTCGCCACCCGGTACACCATCAGCATGGCTCTGCCGCTGCTCACGCTGCCGATGGCCTTCCCTCTGGAGAAGCAGTTCAGGAGTCGTTGCTACGCCAAGATCCCCCAAAAAACTGCTAAGCTCAACCTCCTCATGGGACTCTTCTACGTTTTTGGGATCATTCTGGCGCCTCCTGGCAGCTTGCCGCTACTGTGATCCTTTAGGTTCGACGCATATAAACTCTTGTTTATTATTCACTAGTTTATAGTACCTCTTTTTATTTAAAAAAAAAAAATCTAAAGGCTTGTGCTGGCTTTAATTTATTCTCTAATTTGTAAGCTCAGATGTTTAGCTCAATGACAAAACAAAGCAGGTTTCTGACAGTATTAAACCATCTTTAATCTGTTAAGAGAAAGGCAAACCTGCAGCTGCCAGATTTGTAGTAGAGTACTTGATATCAGCACAAATATAGTAAACCATAATCCTCAACATTATGCTTTTTTTTTGTTTTCATGGTATTCAGAGTTCATTTGGTGTTTGTGATTTTTATTTCTCAAGAGCCAAATAATTTGAGGTCACTGTAATAAAACTCACTTGTGCTGATGTCCAAAGTCTCCGTTTTCGGTCAAAAGATGCTAAATTGAGAACTGACACTTTGGGAATTGCAGTAAAATCAAATGTAAAGCAAAAATGTCTTCAGTGTCTTTTTTATACATAAATGAAAGCATATTTCAGAATATTTACAAACATTGAACACATTTTTGCTTTACATCTGATCAGTGCTGTGAAAAGTATTAGCACCTTAGAAATGTCTTCAGTTTTAACTTTTTGTGCCACATTTGCTTATTCCAGAATAGTTTATATCAAACAAATGCCAATATGAAAGAGTGTCGGCAAATTTAAAAACAAAAACAAATCAGTTGATTTAGTTTTTTTAGGTGGAGGTGAAGAGGGTGGGGGACTGTTGCAAAGTATCCTGGTCCTGTGAAATTTGTAATTAACTTTTATTAGCCATTCTCAAACTTGATTATTGACAGACCTGGAATCACATAGATTGAACTTCATTGAAAACATCAAGTACAAAATACCTCAAAGCATCACTGGAATATGCTAATTTGAAGAAATTCAAAAATGGATGAGAAAATCGACAGGTTAATCTACGAAATAAAAAAAGAAAAATTAAAATATTCTTTAAAAGTTAGCTGTTTTTGCCACTTATTTCAAAAAGTGAAACTCAAAAATTAATTTCACATGGAGTAAAATATTTCAAGCTTTTATTTCCATCAAAAATGATTGTGGCTTATTAAAAACCAAAAATTCAGTGTCTCAAAATTAGAAAGCTGTGAAAATTGTTCAATATGGCGCCACACCAGAAGCAGCTAATGGATCAGTGGGCTTCACAACCACAAGAAACACCACCGAATGGACAGACGTCCAGTCGGTGATGGTTTGGGCTGCACGTCATCTGCTGATAATTCACTTTCTGAAATGAGCGGCAAAAAATGTTGACATTTTTAAAGGGCATGACGGGTTTACCAAAATTACTCCAAGAAGCTGCCAGAGGCTCATCCAGCAGTATGATGGGAAAAACCCAGAAGAAAGCAAGACAAAAATGACTTTGTGAGAAACTATTTAATACATGGAGAGTTCAGAGGTCAAACCCACTGCTGATCAAAAAGGCTGCAAACACGTCTCACATTTACCAAAAACATGTTGATGATCCCTTTGAATCATCAGCATGTAGAGTTAGAAGTGAAACATGTTGGAGTTCTTTGCTCTGATTATTTTGTCTTGGCTTTGGTGGCGTCCTGCTTGTGTTCAGTTCAACAGCCCTTCCTGTCCAGCTTGTAGAAAGTCGTGACGTACATGCCTTACTCGTTTACGAGAAAAACATGGCTCTTTCCTTCTGTTGATCAGTTTTGTGAAATGACACCTTTATTGCGATATTAGAAGATAGTAACATCATTTCATTTCAAATCTACATTACTGTTTTTATAAGGTATAGTGGACCCGGTAATATAAAAAGCTTAAGGATATACACATTTTAATGTAGCATCGCAGTTTAATTGAAAACTAGATTTACCAATAAAGAAGAAAAACAAAAACATGTCACATGTCAGCAGGGGGCAGCATTGAACCACCACTTTGGCAGCTGTTCCATGTTTGAGTAATTATATGTTAAAATATCTAATATCTAAGTGAAATATCTGCAACCAGATATTTCATCTAAGCCGTTTTAGTGATTTGGTCCCAAAGAGATCAATATTTGTATTTGCATCAGTTTTTTTTGCAGTCATAGAATTGCTGTCTCTTTACAATATTGCTGTCCTCAGACGCCTTTTTCATTCATTATTCAACAACACGGTTTTCAAAGTTGTTTTGTAATCTTTTGTAGAGTACATCGTTTCATACATTTACCTTGTCATGTAAGCGACAGTGTTGAAGGTGAAGAAAAACTGGAGATCTGATGCGGCTTGTGCTACATTTTGTAGAAGCCACATCAGAAAACAACAGACATTATAACCATTATGTTCATAATTTAGCGTGACTCATCAAACACCAGATCAACTCTGGCCACGGATAAATTATTTTATTGCAGTACAAGCGGTCAGAATAAGCTGACAACCATTGTCTCTGAAATACTGTATATTTTTAAAATTGTTAATTGACTTTAAAAACTGTATCTCACTTACTGCCACCCCTACCAATCCATTCTGGGTAAATGTAACTAAGTGTTTAAATTTTATGTTTTAAAGTTTTTCCAAGTTTCTAGAAACTACTAATTTGTAATCCATGACTTCCTGAGGTACAAATATGATGTATGATGCCACTGACTGGCTGGATAAAGACCCACCACACACTGTAATAGACAGAAAACTGTGGATATGAAGGAAGGCACAAAAACATCTCAAAAGTTCACATTTGGAGAACTTCAGCAAACATTTTGGGATCACTGAGTCTCTATGACAACCAGTAGATGCTATCTCTAAGTCAAATGTTTGGATAAGAAGCATGCCAGAACATGAAAATATACGCTATTTGCTAAATTCTTGTGGGATTTTAACTGAAACTGTGTGGTTTAGTTACGATAGATTGATGGAAATTTTTTTTGGGCAGCAAACGGTTCAAGTAAGTTGGATATGAATATATAAAGGAATATGTTGAAAAACACCTAAAGCCCACTATTATTTTGGAGTCTGTGATGCTTTGGGTCTGTTTCTCTTCCAAATGTTCTGGAAATCTTGGCACTATGAACATCTTGCAATACCAGGAGATTTTAAACAAAAATCTTGAGGAGTGTGCCAGAATACCAGACAAAACAAAACAAAACAAAACAAAACAAAACAAAACAAAACAAAACAAAACAAAACAAAACAAAACAAAACAAACAAACAAACAAACAAAAAAACAACAACACAAAAACAAAACCAAACAAAAAAACTGAAAATAGGTCATCGGGTCTTTTGGAAGACAAAATCCATCTCTTCCATCTTTTTTTCAGTCCTCAGACATCTGCTCTTTAGAAAACATGTGGTGAGATGAAGACAGGATAAAATGAGACTGGAGAAGAAGGTTTCGGAGAAGAAAGGACTTAGAGACATTTCACAAAGCAGAATGGTCTTTCTGTGCTCAGACTTTATCATATGAGTACTCGTCTACTAGAAAAAAACAAAACAAAACAATATCATCAACAGCAAAAAAAACTGTACAGCTGGGGTTCCAGCATTGTGCCATCAGTGAGGTGATTTCAATTGGAGACATAAAGGGCTTTATAAATAAAACTGATTATTATTATTGTTACAGAATTGTTACTAAAATCAGTTGTTTCAACATTTAGGATTTTCCCTGCACGCAACACACGTACTGAAAATAGAGGTCGGATTTCTCTCTAATTTCCAGTGTGAGATAATGTTGCATAAGCAAAAATGCAGCTTTATCTGGTCCTTTAATGTTTTGGCTCACATCTTTACTTGGGGTGCCAGTTGACGTGAAGCTATAGATCATATAACAAACTAATAATACACTAATTACCTCAATAAACATACACAAAGCAAATATTTTCATTTATTTGCTGTTTCATTTTACATATTTCTAATAAACCGCAAACGTTGCTAACAAAATCTCTACTAAACCTGGAGATCTATATTTGGGTACTTTTAATTAGCTGTCATGAATAATTGTGCTTATTACGAGCAGCCAGTGAAGGCAGCATGACCAGTGACGCAATGCATGGGCGTGTTGTCATGGCTGTGTGCAGCAAAACCTCTCATAAATACATATTTATCCTAAAACAAATCAAGTCGGGGTTATTAGTTTACGACAGTATGGAGTTTCATCTGACTGCAAAGTGAGCATTCTTGACAAGGAGCCGGTAAGTGGACACACTGCGAGAGAAGTTGAATTTATGGCAGAGCAGCTGTGCCAAACAGTAGTTAGCAAGCTAGCGTCAACCTTAGGCGTACAGCTACGTACAGTCTGATAATGCTTCGAAGCGATGAGAAGTACAGCAGAGTGTCAGCATCTACGGCAGGCATGAATATGAGTTTGTTTAAAATGTGGGCTGCCTCAGTTAAAAAATGTTAAAAATGTTAAAAAATGACTCACTATGACAATCCTAATAGCGACGTATTGTTGTGGAAGCCGTTTCTTCTTCTGACCGCTAACGTCAGCTGATACATTTAGAGATGCGCCTGTCTGTTATAAATGCTCATGACTTTAAGTTATGTGTTGAGAAGGGGTGGATTTACCGTGTGCCTTTGACAGTGTCAGTTGGATGTAATGGGAAAGGTGTTGTCTTTGCCTGAAGGCGGGCTGCATGTGGGGTCATACCTGTCAGGACTGGCCAAGCTGCATGCTTCTGCTTCCAGCTTCTCAAAGACGTGCATTGACTGTCACCTGACTGAAAGTGGGGAAGCCCAGATTTTTACAGAGAATCCTGGACTTTACAGAGGCTATCATCACATTTTGGGTAAAACTGACATTTACAAAGATTGTCGCCTCAACATTCAAGACCCAGGCCTGCTCAGCTGTCAGTTTTTTTTTTTGTTTTTTTGTTCTTATTTATGAAGCCTGGATCATGGTCATGGGCTGAGATGGAGAGTAGTTAGTAGAACCTGCAGTGGAAATTTTAATATACATTTTCGTTTGCAATTTACCCTTTGTTAATGACAGTGAGCAGGAGGAACTTGGCAAATTTGAAAGAAAAGTGTGAGAGCGTTTTAAATGGAAAGTGAGACTACATTTCCGCTTTATGTAGGATTACCAAACAAGTTATCTCTGGAACGGGTTCAGCATATGAGCGCAAAATGTGTGAATGAATCTCAGAAGAACAGCTACAAACTTTGGGAAGATGCTGGTCGAATCTGGTAAGACAGCGTTATGAACCACAATGAAACATGTACACGGGGTGAAAGGCTGATCAGCAAGGAAGAAACCATTACTTGCAAAAGCAACAACTGAAATTTCTTTACATTGTGTACAAATATAATAGTGCTTTTAAAAGCAGCTATACCAGTTTCCTTTAAACTCTGAGCTGCTGATAGTAATTATGACAAACATTTTTTTTTCTTAAGGACTATAATAAATAGAAGTAAGATAAGTATGTACTGCTGGTCATTTGATAAAGGTAGTAATTTTCAAAGCATTAACCCCAAATGTTGATTTCATTTTGATCAACCCCTCCAAAAGTATGTCAAAGTACGAGTTGTTGTTTGATGTGTTTGCATGCCAAAATTGGTGCTGGTTTATAGTTTTGTTATTTTAAATAAATAGCGAATTTTACAATTTTATTTTGTTTATTATTATTATTAAGTATTTGATGTGCTAATCTCTGATCAGAGCATATCAATTGGAAACAACTTGACTAAAACTAAAATGTAGACATATTCTTGGTAAAGAGAGTTTTACTGCATGGCAAGTGAATTATTATACCAATCCATAAAAGTACCCAAGCAATCCTTTGTGGATGCAAAGACCGATATTGTAGTCATAACTGTGACTTCATACATTGATGTTTGTCTTAGTATCAAGAGTGAATCAAGAATGAGTTTAGTCTAGTTCACAGTTTCAATATCTGCACTGTCTCTGAACAGAAGAAGGCAACTTACAATCAGTACAATTTTGTGTTAGTTTTCATTCTAAGTGAAAACATTAAATGTGAAAACAAGTGACTATGACTGCTTTATGCCTGAATTGGCTCCTTGTGAGAAAACAGGAGAAAGAACTGATGCTCCTGAGAGTTGAGAGATGCCAGTAAACATGGAGTTAGCTGCTTGTCAGGATGTTATGGGTTTGACCCAAAACATTGTTGAGAGATAATATCTTTGCTAGCATTTTTGTTGCATCAGATACGCGCTTTGCCTGGTGCTATTGTGTTGTGTTCTCTGCCCTGTTCTGTAAAAAGGCTTTTCATGCTCTTTATAATATAAACCCAGTTCTAATCTTGATGCTCATTTTTGGGTTAGTCACCATGAGGAAACAACTGTAATTGCCTAAGGGTGATAAACCAATCAGTTAGTCATCTTTCCTTTGACGTGGAAAAGCTTGGGTTTTTTTCTTTCTGCTTGTTAAATGCATCGTCACTGAAAACTCCTTCAGTTTTCAACCAGCAAATGCATCAACAAACAGCGTTGCACTTTGATGCCCTTTGCTTAGAGTTGAGTAAAAATCGGATAACGGTCAGGGACGTATGTGTAGAAGCATAAATGGAGATACTAACTTCTCTTACTTTTTTAGGAAACTTGCAGCATTTTTATTTTACGTCAAAATATTTGACGTTAAATATTTATTAGTTAAATATTTAATGGGCATTTAATCAATATCTTAAGTCTCTGTTTCAGAATCAAACTTTAAGTCTATGATTAATCGTATGAAGTAACTGGAATTAGATTTGAACATTTCTCAAGTGTAAATAAGTATTTGAAGAAGAAATATGAGTATAGAAAAACATTTACATCTGCTCTTTACTTCATCATCTGGAAGCTAAAGGCAACTTATTGATTTATACAGCCAGAGACAATCCAGCGCTTGTACCAAAAAGTTAAAAACAACATACGAGATTCAGAATTTTATAAAACGAAAAGGTTTTTCACATTGATTTTTATACAAATAACGTCATTTATGTTTTTATCCAGCTCATCTGAGTTGCTTTTAGTTTTTAGGCTAGAGACCTCGAAAAGTCCTTGGAAGTCATTCTGCCTTGCAGCTCCCTACATTGAAACTTTTTTTAAAACTTTTTATTCATTTCATTGGTATTTTGCTTGGCAGTAAGCCTCTACCTTTAATCTACCCTCTGACTCTGATGACAGACATCTGCTGAAATGTTTTTCTATTTTTAACCGTGAAGCGGAGAAGAGCTGTGGGACTGAAGGCCTTCCTTCATGTGTTTCACACCAACATGTCTGTTGCATTGGACAGCGATCGCTTTGTTCACCAGATTGCAGTGTGCCGTAATAAACTTCATTATGAGCTTGTGTCTCAGCCATTTCCTAAGCGCCCATTCATTCTTTTGCCTATGCTTGTCCTGCCAGTGCCAGCTGTATAGATTCACATGTGTTTGCCGGGATCAGCAGAACGCTGCGTCGTCTGTTTTTTCTTTCTTTCTTTCTTTTTTTGTAACCATATTGTTGTCTCTTGCAGCTGTGGCCACATTAAAGTAAATATTCTAAGGCTATGAAAGCTTCGGGAAACATGCAGACGGTCTCCCCCTTTGCTCTTTCCTGGCTGTGCTTTAGGGAATCAGCAGACGTAGCAAAATAGAAATAAAAAAATTATTATTTTTTTAAAGCCTTAAATTGAGAATTGTGGCAGGTGTCCATTCATCAAATTTGCCTCCAGCCACACCCCTTTATTTTTCCTAAAAAAAAAAAAAGGAAAAACATCCAGACCATGCCCCTGTAATGTGCGCCCCTCCCCCCCTCCCCTCTTGTCTTCTGCTCGCTGGCTGGCAGTAGGGCGAATAGTGTCCCCACAGGCTACTAGAGGAAAGGGGGGGAGGCTGCAGCGCTTCTTGATGCGCATGTGTTTGCACATATTGGCCCATAAAGGCAACGCGTCTGCTTCACACGCTCACACCGCCCTCCCCGCCCCCCCAGTGATGGAATACAGCATGCACAGAGCAAAGCCCACTGGCCCAGTTTTATACGAAAGCAGCGGAACGTCAGGCTGAACGCTGCGCTCTCGCTCTCCTCCTCCGTTTCCTCCTCCTTCTTCTCATCTACAGTGGTAATCCTTGCTGACACCACGCACAAAGGACTAAATGCCGCCTGCATCCTCCAGTAGCCTTCTTCTTCTTCTTCCAGCTCTGATCCTACACGGCCAACCTGTCTGTCCATACGTCGGAGATGTTGTTTATAGAGGACGTGGATCTTTAAATCACATCCCTGGAATGCTGGCCTGGCTCTTCTAATCCTCCGCCTCTTCCTCCTCCTCATTTGTCGACCGGTTCATTCAGGGAGAGCATCACAACAGAGGCTTTTTTTCCTACTTTTTTTTTTTTCTACATTTCCCATTTCTTTCCTGGACTACAGGTGGCTAATTTTTTATATATTTTTTTAAACATCTGATGGGTTCATGTAGCTAAATATCGGAGCTGCATCCTTTACATCCTGCTGTTGTCGGTCTCGCTGCACATCTGTATGCCAACAGGTAAACCAGCCAAACAAGCACATGCCTTATTTATCAGGTGATGCAGTGCGAGTCGTTTCGCTCCATGTTGGTGATTCTCTTCTTATATTTCAGTTTGTTTTTAAAGCTTTTCTCAATAAAAACGAGACTTTACCGGAGCGGGATGGACAGTGGAACATATCCATCTTCTACTTCCCTTGTTGAAAAGGAATTATTACTATATTACACATCAGTAGTTGTTAAGGACGTGTCTGCAGGTGGGGCGATGAAGAGCGAAGGCGGCACGCGTGCAGCTGGTGTCGGTCCATGGCCATGCCGCTGCACATGTTGCTGTGGTTTGTAGTAAAGCGAGATGATGTGCCAAGTAAGCAGTTTGTTGTTTGCATTGGCTGTAAGTGTCGCCATTTGTGGAACAGAGCAGTGCTGATTAAAGGGGGTTGGGGGCAGATGGGTTTGCTTTGTCCCAGTTTGTACCTGATGGTGCTGCATTGAGGTGATTGGTACTCGATGCTGGAGTTGACCCTGTAGTTTTGTTTCACTGTGGGGACTCTAAACATGAATCAGCAGACGCTTTAACAGGTTAACAAAGGTGAAGCAGGCCTTCAAGCCACTTGAAGGTTTACATCACAACAAGAGATGAAGATTTGAGGTTGGCAATATGAACATAAAGTAGTGTAATCAATAAGTAGTATAGATGGCTTTTCATTCTTGAAAGGTTTTATGTTCATGTCTCCAAAATTAAGGCCTTAGTACGTCTTCAATTCATTAAAATAATATGAGTTGGCCTTAAATACGTTAATCAGAGGTCTTAATTTATCATGACATGACTATTTACTCTTGTTTAGTTTATTTTTCTTGTGAGACTTTCTTGTCAGGCAAAAGTTTGAATCACACTCAGACATCTTCATTACATTATGTGACTCCAGGTGGTTGAGGCTGCCCCTAACCAGCTGCAAATATACCCTTATTGGCTAGCTAGCTTGTTTGCGTGCGTCTCTCAGTGGTAAGTGTAAATTATTGCCAGTTGGCTGGAGAACGCTTGTCTTCTGTTGCCAATCCGTGCAGTGCTAAGTGCATTCTGGGCAAAAAAAAGCTTGACTTCTCTATAAAATATGCTATTTTCTTTTGTATATTTCTGTCATGATACACATCTTAAATTTTGTTCATAATGGTCTTAAAAAGGTCTTAAATTTGATTTGGGGAAAACTCTGTTTCAAATTCAAAAAAGTCTGGTGTATACTGGCATTTAGACCCATTTGATGTGATGCCCCCACATAAAATCCGGTTTAATCTCTGGCATTGATGATTATCCAACCGAATACACCTGTGTGAACTTTAATCTTAGTAGGGAACATTAATCTAATGTAATGCATCATGGAGACCAACGAACCCAGTCTGGGAGAAAGTTGTGGAGAAGCTTACAACAGAGTTAGACTATAAAAAAAATCTTCAAAGGTTTGACAACTCATGGCAAACTGTTCAGTATATCATCTACATATTCAGTAAAGCATATGGCACAAGTGTAAACCTACTAAGACATGGCTGTCGTATTTCATTGTATTTCATGGCTGAAATACAATGTGGGCAATGAGAACATTAATCAGAGAACCAACCAATGGGTGTGTCTGGTCAGATGAGACGGAAGTCATTCAACCTACAATTCATAACATTGTTTGTTGTGAGTCACAGCTTATTCATGTTAGACCCAGACATAAATCTACCTCTGATTTAGGGAAATGACGCTTACAGGCATTTTACCTGCAGTCTAACTGAGAGTGAGTTGGTTTTGCTTCAACTTAAAATTCAACACAAATATTTAAAAATGTATTGCTTCAAGTAATATAATTATAGTCACACAAATAATTAAAGCAAGGTTTTCATCCTCTGTAGCTTAATCTATGAATCGGTAATGGGATTTTTCAACCTTATTACAATAAAATAAATCATTATTCTTAAATGAAATGGTTGCACTCTATTTCCTTCCATTTCTACAGACGCTAACAGAAATCTAGAAAGCCAGAAGCGTCAAACAGCAGCAAGCTGCTCCAATCTCGGCCGATGACGTCATAAAAACTACGGCAGGCAGTGAAGGTCAGAAGACTTTACCAGATACCATGTTAAAAAAAACAACCCTCTCCCAGCTTACTTCAGTTTATATTCCCCCCAAATTTATCAGAATAAATTAACTTCAACACTATTTAACAGTATTCCACAGGGAACTTGTGAACATGCTCTCCACCTTCCCCAGCCTGTGTTGTTGTGGTTTTTCCTCTGTAAGGCATCAGGCCTGTCCAGTTTTGTGCAACAAATTGCTGACAACCATGCCTGCCTCAACCTGCAGACTCGTTATCGCATCAGTCTGTTATGTGATCCCAAACTTGTGCAAGTAATTTTGGGTTACTACATCACGTTGGGTATTACAAGTTGGAATGAAAACATTTGGTACCTAATTATCCTGAAAACGATCATAAAACCAGGATTTCAGTGCCAGTAATAAAATGATTGATGGCTATGTTAATTTACAAATTGATGATTTTTTTTTTTTTTTCTGGTACAGATTGAAAGATTAATGTGCAAGTAGCAAAATTTGGCACGGTTTTAAACGATGTTTTACACAAATTCTGACCCAGGGCAGACTGTCTGGAAAGCATGTTTTTTTTTTTTTTGTTTGGTTTTTTTTCATAGCAAAGTCGTCTAACGAAAAAGTAATGCATTTACCTTAAACACAGTCCTCTCAAAGGACTAGACCTCTTCCATTATTTGTCCAGCTTTAGACAGGTTTCATGTTTTTCTTCTCTTTCATTCTCACCTAGATAAGTAACCCTGCTTGTATAGTGCTTGATCAGCATCTGCCAAACAAGCAAACAAAAAAAAAACAAAAAAAAAAAAACGCATCAGAATGGAAAACGGTATGTTCCAAAGCATGGATCAAAGTTCACCGCTAACCAAATACTAAGATTGTGCCAGAGAGGGTTCAGTCCCCTGTTCAGTTTGAGCAATGGCTCCACAGAGCTGCTGATTTTCAGCTGCTTCTCGCAGCCCGACAGACGCAGTGATATTAGTGGGATTGTAAATCCAGCAAGGCTTCTGGCATGTTCAAAAGTGGAATGAAGATCATGGGGAGTGAGTACGATAATTTGTGATAATGACTTAATCTCGTCAAGCTTCCATTGGGTACTTTTGGGGCTCAGCGGACGTCTTTGTGTGTGCGTGTGTGTGTGTGTGTTTTTTTTAATATTTGCTCTCAAAAGGCTCTGAGGATTATGAGTGAATATTAAATCTTTAGAGTTTTGTTGAGATTATTGCACTTTAAAAGACGTCTTTTGAAGTAATCCCTGATGGATGTTTAAATATGGCAATGTAGAGCATCAGGAATTAATTTGATGGTTGCTCAATTACACGTTATTACATTAATTTGTACACTTAAAAGCTGTTTTGTGGATACAGTCGACAATGTTAAGTTTATAAGATAGCAACTTGTGGAGTTTTATGGAGGCAGAAAATTGTTAGTACACGTATTATTTACTCTAGATTCTTATTGATTTTATTTTTGTCCCTTCTACTACCAGATGTAGTAGAAGGGACTACTACTTTCTGCAGTTTTTTACTAATTTCTTTATAAAAACTGCAGCAGTTCTAGTTGAGTACAGCAATAATCAGCTGTGAAAAACTATTTGCACCCTTACATATGTCTCCTGCTCTTGTTTTGATGTATTTTTTAAATGTTTCAGGTTAACAAACGAATTTCAGTATCCTGTAAGAATTTTGAAATGTTGCAGAATTGTTAATTCAGCCGCACTGCATTGATTTTCAGTATGAACGGTCTGCAAAGTGTCAAAAGCAGCTCAGTTGGATTTAAGGGCTCCATGTTGTTTCTTTTTTGAGTCGTTCAGTGGTGTGCTCTGGACAATTGTCCTCTATGGAAGTGCTCTTGAGTGTAAAGTCACAAACCGATTGTTTGGTATTCTCCTTTATGATTGCAATAGGGAGCAAAATTTATGATTTTTATCCATTTCTGCGAGTCATCCAGAAGTAACAAAGCAGTCCCAGACCATCACACCACCACAACCATGTTTGACTACATGTCTGTTTCTGACATGCTGTTTGATTTTTTTTTTTCTTCTGGATGTAACAGGACAGACGCCTTCCAAATCCTCTACTTTTGTGTCATCAATCCATAGAATATTTTCCACAAAATCTGGTGAATAATAATGTTGTTTTCTTGCAAATATGATGCAAGAAAACATTTAGTTGCATTTACTTTCATTTTTTTTTTTTTTACTTTACAGAAAGAAAGTCAAGATCAATAGACTCTGAGCATTTGCTCAATGTTTTGTTTTGTTTTTGTTCAGCAGTCGTTCTCCTCTTGGAGCGCTCCCATGGAGGCCATTTTTGCCCAGTCTTTTTGAATCATGAACACGGACCTTAATTGAGACAAGTGAGGGTTTAGATGTTCTGGGTCCTTTTATGATCTCCTGGATGAGCCATCAATGCACTCTTGGAGTAAATTTTGGAAGGTCAGCCACTTCTGGGGACATTTACCGCAGTTCTCCATTTGCAGATAATGGTACTAAAAAAAAAAAAACTTAGAAGGAACTTTGTAACCCTCTTCAGACATTGTTTCTTATTTCTTTTTAGCTCAGGGCATGATGTGTTGTTTTTTGTGATCATTTAGCCTCGTTTATATTAGCAGACGAGTTTTATTTAAGTGATTGCTTGAATTTATAGGTCTGGTTAGTGCAACTAAAATAAATAAAAAAAAGTGGTTAATTACATTTTATTCATCATTTAGGAAGGAGGGCAGATGCATTTTCAAATACGATCAGGCTGATTGCTTAAAAAGGTTATCTTTACTTGACACTAACATTTGTGGGACCAATTAAAAAAAGGGCTCCAAAAACAGAGCTGGGTTTCCATTCTTCTAGGGAACTTATTCTTCTCAGATTTATTAAAGCTTTCAAACATGGATGTTTGAACCATTTATTGATTCTAAATTAGTTCCACAGTATAGCAACAGTGAA